TGCTGCAGCCCCTGCGCCCCCCCCGTTGGCCAGCCACATCTCAGTGGTAACCGTTACGCCTTTGAGTAACTGGTGGCTCGCACGTGAGCGCCAAGGACCCCTTCCAAATCCCACTGCCACAATGCAGCCTTGCTGCCCTACCTGTGTGGAGAGCACAGCAGAGCTGAAGCCTGGCAGTGTCCCCTGTCCTGGAGGGGTAAATGGGAACTGCTGGGGGTGGGGAAGGGGGTGCGGGGCGGACACACAACACACACGACAAGGTGCGTGGGCACACGGGCACCGAGTGCTGCTACGCCAGAATTGTGCCTATGGTGGCTGCGTGTATTTCTGGATTCAACGTACATTGAAAATGCCGCTTGTGAAAGAAACTATACTAACAGAGATGTGTTTTCACTGGACTGCTGACCTCATCTGCTGTCATTGCAGGCCAAGCTAACTAGCAGAGATAATACAGTGAAAAAGAATACTCTGCTTCAGCACTCGTGCCATGTGGTAGGCTATGCGCAACATAAATGTCGGACTACTTGTTGCAGAAACACTGCTTAAGGAGCAGGTGCATCTTTCTCACAGCAGTGGCTAACATGGCTGTACTAAGTACCTGAATAGAAGGCAGCACTGAATGCATAGATGCACATTCCCCAGCAGCCCATGGTGACCCCAGCGTTGTACTTCTGATACTCATCTGAGTTGTGAGGTGCTTTTGGATTCCCTTGAAACACTACCTCTCCCATGAAGTCGGTATAGAAGAGTAACATCCCCTCAAACGAAAGCCATCCTGAAAGAAGCCAGAAGTAACCTATTAGGATTGCAGAGTATCTGTTTCCCCTTGTAAACTCACATGGATGCTATTAGCTATATTACAAATCACAACCGAAGACAGGTTGCGCAACGTGAGTATTACATAACATTCAGCCACATTTATCTAGACTGCTGTTCCCCGTGCATTATGCTACAATGTTTGTCAAAGATGTTCAGGATTTTAAAGACCAAGATTTATCCTTTGAATTCTTAAGTGGAATCCTAGAGGCTGACTGCAGGCCACAGAATACTGGTTTAGCAAGACAGAAAAATACGTTACAGCAGTCTGAGCTGCCTTCAGGTTTTGACAGAACACAACGCTTGGTTTCACAGCGTGGCTCATCATGTAGTCGTTTCAGGTTGCTGTTGTCCTCCCACACAGAACTGGAAGGAGTGCTTCTTATGTCATGGTTGCAGCCTCTAGAGCACCTCCGACACAGTTAAAAACTCCTACTCACAAACCGGCGTCAGTGCCACTGATGCAGGCAATCTTTTAATTCTTTTCACAGCCAATGAATATTAACTACCTGTTACGTTCTGTCCAATTTTGTGTAAACTGGATTGCTTGCAAGCCCCTCCTAACCATCAGTCATGCATTGGTAAGAGTAAAGGTAACAGTGCACTGGTTACGGGCACTCCTGCAGTGTCGTGTTCCGTACCTCTTCACGGCCTGTTCTGGGACCCCTATACACATACTGTCAAAGGGAGGAAAGGGAACGCCGGTCTCAGGTGTAAGCAGGGAAATACAACTAATCTCATCCTTCTGCTCCGTAATGCCAGTTTCAGAGCATTAAAAAAAAACAAAACAGGTTGATAGTTTCAAGTTCTTGGTTCAGTGGCGTTTCTCGGTGTAAACTTTCCATTTAACAGATGCGCTGATTTAGGCTGTTGTTATTCCCTTTCTAGGCATGTAGGCTTTACTGTTTTGTTGGGTTTTTTTTCCCCTTTCTCAGTATTCTAAGAAATTAAATACCAGAAAGTACCTTATTGGTGAGTGTGTATGAAACAAATCACATCCTCTCTAGTTAGCAGCCATTGCAGCAATAGATAAAATATTTTAAAACATTCACCCGAGGTAGACTACTTCATGGTGAAAGCAAGATGGCACTTTCTGAATACCTAGGAAGTGGTTGATGCAGAGGTTACGAAGAGCCTTGGGCATCTGGCAGACGGTCGAACAAAGAAGTTTCATGGAGAGTGGTTGCTCAGAGGTCTCGCCTGATCCATTCAGCTCGCTCTCATACTTAACACCATTCAGCAAGATATTAGCAACCTGCACCATAAGAACTCCCAGGTCAACAAACACAGTAAGAAAAACCCCAACATCCTTTGAGCAAACCTATGCAATACTACACACCTATCTGATCATCTGAAAGTTAAACTCTGCTGCTGCAGTATGTTGACTTGGAGAGTAAGAACAGTGTATTTAGTGACGCTGTAAGTTCAGCCCTGGAAGAAGTGTTAAATGGCAGCACTACGCTGCAGCTTGAAACAGTACTCTTCACTTGACTAGGGTGTTTGGCAACCACATCCACATGCTAGCGTAGGGAAGGCATAAATTCCATTGCATTTAATAGGAGCTGTACCCACATTCAGGTGAATTTGGTTCTTGAAGTTTTAGAGACATCGAGGAAGAAGAGGCTGGTTTTAATCGAAACACATTCTCATTGCTTGCTAACCTTGATGCTCGATCTCTACGTGCACGGTATGTAAAATCCTGGCCCTAACAAAGTCTGCTCTCACAAACTGGGTAAAAGTACAGCAACAGCAACAAACAAACCAAACCAAACCAAACAAATAAAAAAAACACCCACCCACCCCCCAAAAAAAAACAAAACAAAGCAAAAAAACCCCAAACAAAAAACAACCAACAGAGGACAGTTTACCTCATCCCGGATCATAAAAAAATGGGCCAGCATACAGAGGTCTCAGACATTCCAAGTTATCACCAACAGTGGGAGGTGAGGTCAGAGTCTTATCCCTGGGTAAGGGAAACCTCACCTCCCTGATGGAACCAGATGTAATGACTGCCATAAGGAGAAGCTCATGGGAGAATCCTATCCCTGGCCCTATCTTGCAGGTATTTCTGTGGAAAGGGAAGATACAGGCTCAATAAAAATGTGTCTTTTTCTGCTCTCACGTGGTAGCTCCCTGGGTGGTGAAGCAGGGCTAAAAATACCAACCTAACTTTCACACATGGCCCGGTGAGAGCGGAATGCTCCCATTTCTGCCATCTTAACAAAGGCAGATGACAGACTGCCAGTCATAATTCACATCCTACCCACTATTTTACCCATAAAGTCATAGCAGGTATGCTGTTCCCATAATGACTTTTATGAGCAAACTGTCACGAGCAGTGTTTAACGATGAATTTGTGCATCACACTTTTAAAATTATATGAAGAAATTAAATGAATGCTCAGGTTTACATGGTCATATAATTGTTTTTCTGCCCTTACCTGTTGGCTGAAGGTTACATTTCTTCTTCTGCTATTTTCTGGACAGTGTCCTGTTACGATATCTGGAATGGCCAAGGTTTGAGGTCTTTTCAGGATCCCCGACGACTGTGGCTTTATCGCATCCAGTGAGCCCACCCCCACATCCACATGCTAGCGTAGGGAAGGCATAAATTCCATTGCATTTAATAGGAGCTGTACCCACATTCAGGTGAATTTGGTTCTTGAAGTTTTAGAGACATCGAGGAAGAAGAGGCTGGTTTTAATCGAAACACATTCTCATTGCTTGCTAACCTTGATGCTCGATCTCTACGTGCACGGTATGTAAAATCCTGGCCCTAACAAAGTCTGCTCTCACAAACTGGGTAAAAGTACAGCAACAGCAACAAACAAACCAAACCAAACCAAACAAATAAAAAAAACACCCACCCACCCCCCAAAAAAAAACAAAACAAAGCAAAAAAACCCCAAACAAAAAACAACCAACAGAGGACAGTTTACCTCATCCCGGATCATAAAAAAATGGGCCAGCATACAGAGGTCTCAGACATTCCAAGTTATCACCAACAGTGGGAGGTGAGGTCAGAGTCTTATCCCTGGGTAAGGGAAACCTCACCTCCCTGATGGAACCAGATGTAATGACTGCCATAAGGAGAAGCTCATGGGAGAATCCTATCCCTGGCCCTATCTTGCAGGTATTTCTGTGGAAAGGGAAGATACAGGCTCAATAAAAATGTGTCTTTTTCTGCTCTCACGTGGTAGCTCCCTGGGTGGTGAAGCAGGGCTAAAAATACCAACCTAACTTTCACACATGGCCCGGTGAGAGCGGAATGCTCCCATTTCTGCCATCTTAACAAAGGCAGATGACAGACTGCCAGTCATAATTCACATCCTACCCACTATTTTACCCATAAAGTCATAGCAGGTATGCTGTTCCCATAATGACTTTTATGAGCAAACTGTCACGAGCAGTGTTTAACGATGAATTTGTGCATCACACTTTTAAAATTATATGAAGAAATTAAATGAATGCTCAGGTTTACATGGTCATATAATTGTTTTTCTGCCCTTACCTGTTGGCTGAAGGTTACATTTCTTCTTCTGCTATTTTCTGGACAGTGTCCTGTTACGATATCTGGAATGGCCAAGGTTTGAGGTCTTTTCAGGATCCCCGACGACTGTGGCTTTATCGCATCCAGTGAGCCCACCCTTAGCGCCTCGCCATCAGGCCCCGGCGTTATGCTGCTCTCCCCTTGCTCCAGAGCTCCATTTTCTCCTTGGTAACAGCCATCAGGCACCCGAGGAAAGCTGACACTGACAGTCTGCCTGGGCAAGCTAGCTGGAAGTGCTAAGTAACTATTGTGCCCGCCTGTAAAACAGTCTATAAGCACGCTGTCAATATTAGAAGTCCCAAATGATGATGCAAACTCATTAATTCCCATCAAGGAATTGTCTCTGCTGACAAAACTGCCATATTTGGGTGTGAGTGGGCTCAGAGGGGAAACAGGACTCGTAAAACTTGCATATAAGCGAGCTGAGTTATGAGAAGCAAAGTTTTCATTTACACCCTCCTCAAAGAAGAGAGGTGGAGAAGGAGGGAGAGGAAGACTTGGACTCTTCATCACCTTTTTCTTCCTGCTAAAGGACCTTAAGGGTCTTTCTGGAATGCTAATTAGAGTCAGCACAGTAGTGACAGTCAGTATAACTGAGGTGAAGACATAGATGACGCGAAGCTGCCCTCCCACAGCTTTTCCAAAACTGGTTTTATCCCAGTGTATTCCTCCAACAACATAACCAAAGCCACCTCCAAGACCTGGTGGAAAAACAGAGCTAAGATTATCTTCCCTAGCCAATCCGGGAAGTCCGTAGCAGCACAGCACCATTTGTCTAATGATTCATCAGTAGAATCTGACGTGTTGCTTCTGGTTTACTACTCAACCCCTTTTCAAATCAAATGTAGGAATAAACACAGTTATCTGTGCCACAAGGACAGTCTGGATGTACAAACATGGTACAGAAAGAGGGAGAAGGTCAGAGCTGTAAAAGTGATGATACAAATAACTAAAAATGGTAGTTCTTTCTTTGCCAAGAACAAACCATTTTACCTTCAGCTATATTAGTCCGTAAAATGGAAGTGTCCACCAGCCTCGTGGCAAGGCTCTGCAATCAGTCAGCTAAGACTGTTTTCCTGAAAGTAAGTGAAAATCCATTTTCCTCACTCAGTTAGAGGAACACAGATCTAACTGCGTCCAAGACAGACCGAATCACTTCAGAAGCGTACCAAGCTCATTACCCAGCAAACAAAACTGCTACTGCATTACTACCGATGAACAGGGAAGTTCTGAGCACACCAGATACCTCTCTCACTCCATTCACATGGTGAAAGCCTTATGACACTATCCTTTCTTTCTTACAAACACATTCAAGAGCGTGAAACAGTCTCCTGATGGAGAGGAAAACTAGGCTAGGGTAGTACAGCAATTGAAGATGGCAGCAATGAGGGATCATAGCGCCCAGTATGCAATTTCCCCTCCAACAGAGTGACTAAAAAAGGCATTTTCCACACCTGCAGGAAGCCAAACCTCCTCCCTCAAGGGATAATTTTGTTTCCATAGGTGTTATAAATGATGTGAGGGACCTTCAGATGAACAACCCAGGACTGTGTCTTGTTTGACTTTTGGTAGTTACAAAAGCCTTTTGCAGTGAGCAGAAGTTCGTTTTCGAAGTTAATTAGCGCTACTTCTCCAGGTATTCATTTATTATGCTTATACAAGAAAAGATCAGTGATTTAAACTCTGTTTTCTCACATCAGGGGTTGTTTACTTAGGGTTCACATCACCCAGGAAGCACCAAGAAAGCATACCTGCTAACAAAGCGTGGATGTTGAGTCCCCTGTCTTGATCCACTGGGCTGCATACATCCATCATGTAGGCGTGACTGGGATTGTCTGCTGAATCTGCGCTGAAGTCCATGAGGACAACACCACAGACTGTAAGAATGATCCCCCATTTGTGGTTATTTGCAGCGTCAGACAAGGCACTCCCTATATCTTTGCCATTCAGCATAAGTGAGAGCCCGAGCAATGCTCCTGGAAATAAAACCAAATCAAAATCAATCGACTGCTTTTAAGCAAAAAAACCTGCATCGCTCCATGCTCTAAAAGCATACTACCTGCACAGTCTTGTGGCAAGCACTATTGCTCTTGTTCAGATCACCACAGCCTGGGGAATAAGCACAGCTTATAGGATATACATAATCCTTTTCCACTGTTCAAGCTTACACGTCTGGAGTTGGTTTTGGCCAAAGAAAAACATTCTTGGCCCTCAAAACATCATCTCTTCAGACTCTGAGAAGAGAAGCTTTTATGTGTGGATCTCCGGCTGCCAAAGCGTCACCTCGGCGCCACTCACCACCTTCTTCAGACCCACAATACCCAACACTTCAGAGGCATTTTGTTCAGCCTAGTGCCACAGGGGATGTCACAGAAGAGAGATGTGCAACGTTTCTACTTTGCAGGTGTTATTATGCCCATCATTTCTAAAAGACGCACCTACTGCTAAGACCAGAATGAAAGGTCTTCTCCTCCCAAATCTTGATGTGCATCTGTCACTCCAGGCCCCCAGCAAAGGCTGTAGCAAGAACCCTAGAAAAAAGAAATCACCAATAAATAGCATTTTTCTACAAGCCTGTTTCATGGGGGAGTTAAAATAGGTAGCTTAAAAGGCAGTTAAAGGCAGGACACCATGGCATAGTGATATCCGCAGTCAGTACTAGTCACCCAGGTGCACACACAGCGTACTTCCTGGCATTTCCCAGGTGGGGGACTGAATAATGTAATGTGCTGCTGCTCACTGTCATGGCAGTTCACTCTGCATCGTTAATACAGCAGAGTTTGACATCAGGCGAAGAGTAAGAGTACAACAGTTTTATGTTCTAAAGGACTCTGTTCCTTACAAGCTATTTCATTTACCCCATCTTAGATGGGAGATCCCCTGCAGAATTAGCTTGGAAGATAGCAGGAACCAAACATGTGAGTTGGAAAAATGCCTGCATTAGTCTAGGCCAGCCTGTGAGTAGGGGCCTATCTACTCTCTTCTTCTGAAGCATATCTCATGAGTACAAGAACACGCAGAACAAAGTTTCCAAGTGGTAATAGCCCATCCTATGGTTCTTCCCATAGTAATGCATACGCTCCCAGCCCTGCCTCCATGCTAAGGCAAGAAATCCAATGACCGTAACAGCAGTAGTTGACGGTCTTTCATTATTGGAACACCTCGTTTGTTTCAGAAAGTTAAATAGGAGAAGGCAGTCCCACTCTGTTTTTTTTGATACACCCTGAGAACTGTCTCTGTATGCTTTTTTTCATATGGACATAAATGGATACACCGAACTTCTTTTGCTAGTTTCTAAATATAGTAGCGGAGTAACCAAAGCTTACCCTTGCACAAGATGTAAGAGAATGAGAAGCCATTAAAAGAACAGATATTTTGAACACACCAGGCCCATTTCAGGCAAGACACAGCAAGAATTATTCTCCATTCGGTTGTCTAAAATTATGGCTAGTGCTTCTTAACCTCAAGAGCACAAAGAATATGCTTGTGAACAGCTGAGGTAGAGAAAACAAAAACGTATAACCCCCGTGTAGTGGAAAAAACAAGAGGGAACAAATAGCGTAAAGAAAAGTTACCTAATATAGGGCTGATGAACCACACCATTCCATACAGTTGGTCTGGAAGCCCCATCTGAAGCAGCACAGGGGTAACATAGGCTGTTTCCATGGCATAGCTGAACTCGAGTCCAAAGAGAATGCACCCATTAAACAGGAGTTCTAGGAAAGACCTCTGAGGCTGGAGATCCCCAAAGTCAATCAAATCAATAGGACATGGAGTATTTGGCGGTGGTGGCGGCGAAGGGCGGATGTGTTTTCTCCTTTTCGGATGTCTCTTGAAGTTATTGGCCCGATGACTTATGTGCCGTGTGACCGATCCAGAATAGCCTGGAACTTGTGACCTCCAGATTTCCTGAGAAGCCATGCTTGGTAAGAGTGCAGCATCGCTGACAGGGGTTGTTGCAGATGGTGGAATCATCATGGGTAGGCGTCTGGAAGAAAAATAGCTCAGAATAAAATGGTTGAGTAAGAAAAACTTTACTTAATTTCATTTACTGAAGTTCAAGCCATTTCTCAACATTTCACATACTGAGTGCAGCCTTCGTATTAGCTACAACCTTTTCTCTCCATCTCTTGACACGAGGCATATATGTTTTATGGGCATGTCTCCTCCATCTTTGCACAAATGAGACACCTGAGATCCTATCTTGGTTACCTAGGCATTGCCTGCCATCATCGGGGATTAAGATTGAAATATTTAAAACAATAAGTAGTCAGACACATCACACTTCCCAGGAGTTCCCGTAACAGCAATGGGTTTATGTTTATCTGCAATTCATTCAAGCTAAAGTAAGATGAATCATGACCTCAGTCTAAGTTTACAATAAAGCAAAGCTGTGGCTCGGCTGCAGATCCAGACCCCTGCTGCAATGTGAAATCACCTTTCGGTACTGATCCTACCATTCCTGATGCCTGTGCTGAGGCCAAGGCTTAAGGCAAAACTTTTTTTGCAATGACTGAGCTTGGTTTTCTTCCTATTTACATTCCTGAATTCAGCAGAGACACTGTGTTGCAAGGACAGGGTCTGATTGTCTGCTTCTTGCTGGTTCTATGTCCATAAAACTTTACTGGAGCACTCAAAGAATGTGTTTTTTAAGTTCAGACTACACAAGCTGAACACCTGGATGAGGTCAGCTGACAACAAATACGCTTGGAACCAGATGTTGATACCATTTTTCAGTGCAGGAATTAGAAGTTTCAAACTAATTCCTGAGAAGAAGATACATACCCCACAAGCCACCCTCAGCACTTCTACTCCTCTCTCAGAGATTAATGGCATTCAAGTGCTGAACAGCCTCCTCGGGCGTCACCAGAATCACTCCTGTAGCATGTGAACATACTGTGGTGGGTAAAACAGCCAAACAGGTTCCAAAATAGCATCTCAGGATAGATGCTGACAGATCTGCTGAATTAATGAACCACATGTGATTTCTTGCCTCTTGTTGCTAGAAATGGAAACAGCTCGTAAGTGAAATCTGGCCTTTTCTTTATGCTTTCTTGCCCACAGACCAAAGGCTGCTGCTGCACAAAGATAGCTCCACATCACCCCATGCCTCTTTAGGAAAACCCTCACAGCTGCACACTAGTAAGCAAAACAAATCTCTTACTTTTTTGTTTACAGTTCCCCCGGGGAAAAGACTCCCAGCTGTTCTGCTACTTTGGCTGTACAGAACTCCCACAAGTCTCCCGTTTTCTGCTACTTCCTCCAGTGCATTTCACACACCTGTCTTTCTTCCTGTAGCCATCAGTCTACACAACACCATTCTTTGCTGCATATCCCCAACTATTATCAAAAGCAGAATTCTGTAAACCCACGTTTACCATCATGCTGATGCAACAGTTGTTAAGCATGGTGGGATGATGCCCTACACAGAACGATCCCCAGCTCCACGCAAGCATCCAGAGAGAGACATTGCACAATGCAAAATTGAATGCCAAGCACCTCACAAAAGACCACAGTTGGGTTAAGTTGACTGTATTTGGGGCCTGAGGGGGAAAAGGAAGGGTGAGAGAAGACGTCTACTGAAGTATTACTAACATCGTACCACAGGTTTCGTCAGGACTGCTCCTCTTCAGACCAAGATGCATACCACCTAAGAGAGAAGAACAAGCAAACCGTAACTGTAATTACGCGCCTTGACAACCCCCTTCTCACAAGGCACCAACAAGCAGGATGCATTTTGTTGGGAAAGCTCATTAGACACAAAGTCCCCTAGATAGACCAACAGAAGGAGAAGCGTATGGAGACTTTGTGAAGATGCCTGCACTGGTGTTCCCCTTGACACCGTTTCCACAAATTACTGAAAACTTCTTATGACTTATGTCTTTCATAAGCAGAGCACTTACTTTGCAGGAGTACCTTTATCAGCCTTCAGGTGAAAATAATTCCCTCACGATGAGAATTTGTTAAAAATTAGGAGACAGATGCTAGAAAAAAGATGTAATGAAACCCCAGTCAGATTCACGACAGATGCTCTAACGACCCTTTCACAGAAACATGACAATACAACTGTGCTAGCACTCCCCTTCACAACTGATACACCTTGCCGTTTGCACCCAGGGTGTTGACCACCCTATATTCATCTATTAGTTTCATTTCATACCAGATCCTCCTTTATCCTTCCTGCTCTGTACTGTACATTACAAAGAGATTGTATCACAAGTCGTAAGTGGCAACATTTTAGTGACAGAAGGAAAGAACTCCTCTGCTTGGCTCAAAACTATGCGTGGTGATCTGCAATTACTTGGAATGAAAGGCTATTATTGACAGCATGTCACCAGCGCAGCAGAAAGTCAGCGTAAAACTGTGAGCTAAGTCTATATTCCTCATTGCCCATTTTTCTCAACTTCTGAATCAATTCTTCACCAGAGGGTGTCTTCAAAGGACCTCTTCAAAGGACTTAAGCCTGTCCTCAGCTGAATCTACCCTGTGATCACAAAAGCTTCAAAGCAGGAAATCTCTCCTTCAACGTGGAAAACAATTACGTGGCTGTTAGCTTTCACTGCCAATAGCTATTTGCAACTTTTGGCACTCGACGTTTGTTATGCCAACAGCTGCGCATCTCAACCTGCAGGGCCTCGGCAAAGCTGGCTCTGCCGCCTGCTATCTGCACAGTCAAACGTGTGCACACAGCCAACGTGTGGCAGGCAGGGACTGGCCATCACCGTTCCTCCTGGGCACCTCTACGCCGAAAATGAGGTTTTCCTTCTTTGGCAGAATCTGGTCCCGCTTTTTTCGTGGTGGGTACAGAGGGCTCCAAACACATCCCAGACATCAGAGTTCCGGGGAAAGGCCAACCCTAACCCTGACCCTGACCCAGCGCGAGGGCCGCCGCCTCCCAAAC